CATAGGTCTCAGCTGAGCGTCTTGGGTGGCCTTCGGAGGGCCGTCTTCAAGAAAAACAACGATTTGGAGCTTGGTCCCAAAATCAAATTCGCTGCTGTCTTCTGCCACAGTCGCGTTATGTTCCATGGGGCTGTATGGGCGCCGTTGTCTACCAGCAATCAGTCATTTCTCGAGTCGGCCTACCTGACATGCCTGCGTGCGGCCATGGGATATAAGGTGCAGGGGGGAGAGTTTCGCGCATGGTCCAAGGACGAAGTACATGTTGTCAGTAAGCGTTTGTCTCCTCTTACGGTGCTCAGGTTCAGGCGCTTAAGGTTTCTCCAGAGGCTCGTAGGCTTTGCTTCCAACGGTTTGCTTTTCATGCTTGGTTGTATGATCGATGCGAAAGGGAGCTGGGCTGAGCTTATGCAGGATGATGTTTTGTGGATGTACGATCGCGTCTCGATCCCTGGACCCTGGAATCCCGTGGGCGGTTTCTCTTGGTGGGTGTCCGCGGCTCGGAGTGATGCGAAACAATGGATCTCTTGGTGCAGGGGGGCTGAGCGTAGTGCACAGGCGGAGGAGCTTGCACTGGCGGAGGTCGGCACATGGAGAGCAGAGCTTTTTAAGATCTGCAAGAGGGGCAAGCTCAGGCCCCCAGACATTGTGCGACCGCCAGTCTCAGAAGTAGCGTACCCATGCAGAGAGCGCGACCAGGTTTTTAGCACAAAGGCGCCATGGTCACGCCACCGCACCCTGATGCACCCACAATTTGACATTGCTGGCTCCGTGGCCGTCGGGGCATGTTGCCAGGCTTGCGGGTTTAACTGGCATTCGCGTGGGCGGCTCTTGAGACATCTGAGGTTTGGATCCAAGACTTGCCTGCCCACGCTTGAGCACTTTCTCAAGCCCCTGAGCGTGCCGGAGATTATCGAACTTCGGACCGCCGGTTCTAAAGAGGCGCAGGCCTTGATAGCAAAGGGGAGTGTGCAGCTGGCCGCCGAGTATCCGCCAGAAAGGTTCGTGGGACCGACTCTGGGCGGTGGCATTCCGAACATTGTTGTGCGAGTCAGCACGCAGGGGATCGAGAGGCCCTGTGATGACGACACGGCCTCTGCCCCTGCAATTGCCCGCAGTCCTACTGAAACTCGTTTCGTTCTTCATTTGTTAGTGGACAGCGCCGCGCTGGCGACGTCCAGATGCATTTTGAGGCCTTGCAAAAACAAAACAGGCTCCCAGTAGTGATGTTGTCCATAGACGTTGCTAATGATAAGGTTGCAGGTGATTTAACAATTCAGAGCTCTGTCACCATTTTCCCGAATATGCTCTGGACTAAGCAGGCTGTGGGGGTGATTGGTGGGCCTCCGTGTGAGTCGTGGTGCCAAGGCCGCACCAATCCCCCCCGAATGGGGGGATTTTCCCCAGGGTGCTTCGCTCGTCCGCTTGGCTCTCGGGGATCCCTTCCCGTAGTAAGCGTGAGTGGCGCCAAATTATGTTGGGCAGCCGTTTGTTGCAAACGATTTTACAGGCCGCTTACGTTTGTTGTGCTGTCGGGTCGTCGCGCATAATCGAACATCCTGTCGAACCCGAGCGTTTGCATTTGCCGTCGATTTGGAGGCTTCCTGAAGTCAAAGCCCTGTTGGGCTTCAGGCCCCGTGCGCACGTTACTTTCACTAAATTCGACCAGTGTTGTTGCGGGGCCAAGTCCAGGAAGCCGACAACATTGTTGGCCATCAACGTCCCCAGTTTGAACGGTGTTATCCAGATGTTGCCTGGCCAGGGCCGATGAGTGTGTAGCTATCATGCGTTGGAGCTCGTAGGGGTGGACGAATCAGGCGAATTCAAGACGTCGGCTGCCAAGCAGTATCCGTCGGAGATGTCGCGTATGTCAGCTCGCTCATTGATGTGCTCGATTACAGGTCTCGAGTGTGTGCAGGATTTCCCAGGTGTGTGTGAGGAGTTGGCCAGATTCTATGTTCCTTTTGACCCGTACTGCAGCGCCCACGGGTGGGGGGAACTATGCACCCGACCTACAACGGCAAAGGTGAGGCCAGCTTCTCTTTTGTCCTTCTCCGCTCCTCCTCCTCCTCCTCCTCCTCCTCCTCCTCCTCTTGTGTGCATGTTCGTCAGTGCAGCAGCTTGCTTCCGTCAGTGGATGAAGAAGAAGAGGGAGGAGGAGGAGGAGGAGGAGGAGGAGGAGGAGGAGGAAGAGGAGGAGGAGGAGGAGGAGGAGGAGGAGGAGGAGGAGAGGGAGGAAGAGGATGGAGGAGGAGGAGGAGGATGGGAGAAGGAAGAAGGAGAGGAGGGACGAGGATGGGAATCGAGGATGATGAGGAGGATGAAAAGAGGAAGGACGAGGATGGGAAACGAGGATGATGATGAGGAGGAGGAGGAGGAGGAGGAGGAGGAGGTACGAGGACGGGGAAGAGGAGGACGGGGAACGAGAAGGAGCGCGAGCCGCGAACCGCCAACAACTCCGCACCTCCGTGGCGGCACCTGGAGGAGGGAGTCCGGCGTGCAGGGCATCGTCGGGAGTGTCGCGATGTTTGGGAGACGTAAGACTTAGGTTCGGAGGACTCGGGTTTTACCAGTCTCGAACTTATCCCTATCCCTAAGATTGACACGCCAAAAGGCGATGACAATCTTAGGGATGCGCCCTCAAACAATAAGGGAATCCCTAAGATTGGCATCGTGATGAGGAGATGCCCAGCATAGGGATAGGGATATGTTCCAGGCTGGTAAGGGTTGGCCTGACAAGGCCGTCAGGAAAATGACGAGACCCAATCTCAAAATTCGACGCGGGCTCCCGCTGCAACAATCCCACGGAACCTGGACCGTCAAGAGCCAGGATGGGCCTGTCGAAAAGCGTCGGCAAGCCCGAATTCCGGCGAACTCGAGTCTGACGTGAACGAATCTTCTCATCCTTGCCCAAACTTTGGACGCTCGAAATGGGTCCGGAAAAAATGGGTACAATGCCCAGCAACAAATGTTGTCCCAAACCAACAGCGGCCGCTGTTGGGCAGGCGGCCTTGGGTCTAAAATTAACACAGGCCGCGGCGGCGCGGACAGCGAGCCCTGTTCAAAAATGAACAGGAACTGCTGTTGGGCATTGTACCCATTCTTTCTGTACCCATTTCGTGCGTGCAGACAAACCTCCTGCCGCTCCAGCTTTTGTCGAGGCGTGGGCCCGCGAGGCCTGGCTCCCTTCCCGAGGGGCCGTTCGTTCGCCCTGAGTCGTGCTCGGACGGCCCGAGGCCCGGCGGGGGCCCCCAGAGGCCGAGAGCAGCTGGAAAAGCCCGCCGCTCCGATGTCTTGTCGGAGCGGCGTCGGCTCTGCTTCTCCTGGCGCGGGCGTATGCTCGCCCCCGCCCCTGCCGGGCCGGGGGGCAACGATACTACACGTCGGTCGGAAGAAGCAGGTAACAAGATGAAGTAAGAGGGCGTTAGAAGTAGATTAGGCTTCCGCACACCCCCGAAGAGGAGGGGAGAGGTAAAACCCCTCGACTCTTGAAGTAGGAAGGCACCGAAGTAGATTGGGATCTGGGACTCCAAAAATACCTACTTTCAACGACCGTCGGATAAGGGGGGTATAGGGATAGTCTCGAAACAAAGACAGCGTCTTCGCGGGCCACACCAGATCGAGGTGCCACCACGTTGAGCATGCATCGAAAAACGATACCAGGCAAGTTGACCATCATCGGGGGAAGAGGGAGAGAGAGAGAGGGAACGAAAGACCGAGAGAGCGAGCCAAGCATACAAACTGAAACACAACAGAGAGAAAGCGAGATAGCCAGCCAAAGAAACAGTGCGAGACTGGGCAGATAAATACGATACCTTGCATTCCAGTGTGGCTTCATCCTTTTCCCCACGTACGCGCTATCAACACTATAAGCAACACTATCACCACCACTACCACCATCACCAGATCCAATATCATCTCAATCACCTTCGTCGTTCGTCGTTTCGAATCCTCTGTGCTCTATTCGTTGACCGGTGGTCGATCATGACCACCACCATCGTCAACATCACCGTCGTCACCCCATCACACTCATCTCTCTCCCCGTGTCCTACTCCTCATACTCCTCCTTCGCCTCATCCTGCCGCTCCTCAATCCAACCGTCCTCTTCATTGTCATTGCGCCCTCTCTTCCTCCTCGCTCTTGCACCACATCCTGCCTCACCCTCTCTTCCCCTCTGCCGCGGGAGTTCAAGAAGTGGGCGTGGAAGAGGGGTCAGAAAATCATTAACCGAGCTATGTGCGGGAACGAGTGGGAGCCAGGGAACGCACTGGAGGAATAATTCTAACAACGATAAAAAACCATGATAATATTGAAAAGAAGAATACTGATATTGATACTACTAAAAAAATACTAATCGTGAATGCCTTCTACGAGATCTCGTGGCCTCTTAAGCCTCACTGGGCTGTTACGCCAGATCGGGCCTCGGATAAAGCGACATTGAGCCAGACTAGGCGGGATTTAGGCGGGATGGAGCCATATTTCGGACCAGGGCAAAATCAGAATTTGACCCCCCAAGAGTTGCATCCGAACGAAGCCAGATCGAGGATAGAATCGGGCGAGGAGAAGTCGAGAACCTCTGAGAGCCCGCGGCTCTGCAAGATGCCTCGGGCGCCGCGCCTTGTCGGAGCGTCCTCCCGGAGCACCCTGAGAGCGTTCCAGAACGCTCTGGAACGGATCTATCCCCCTCCTCCTCCTCCTCCTGCTCCTCCTGCTCCTCCTGCTCCCCCTCCTCCTCCTCCTCCTCCGACACCTCCTCCTGCTCCTCCTCCTCCTCCTCCTCCTCGTCCTCGTCCTCGTCCTCCTCCTCCTCCTCCTCTTCCTCCCCTGCCTCCTCCTCCTCCTCCTCCTCCTCCTCGTCCTCGTCCTCGTCCTCCTCCTCCTCCTCCTCCTCCTTCTCCATGTCCTCCTACTCCTCCATCTCCACTCCTCCTAGCCCCGTCCGAAAAACCTCCTCTTGGCCCACCCCCGCTCTTCCTGCGGGTCTCTGCGCTGGGCAGAGCGGC